CGTTCAATTTTTAAGATACCCTGACACTCGAGTGTAACAATCATCATATTTGGGCATCTGACGAGGCGATACTTCAAGCGGAGCATGTGTCGAGAACTGCCTTTCAGTACTTGTCAAAGGTTTTGGGCGAGGTGTCGACCGTCATTAGTATTTAGAACGATGCCATCATAATGCCGATCTGCAAAACGGCGAAATCGATTTGTAGGGTCCCACAAGATATCTATCCCCCGCCCAACTGTTTAACGTATTTTGTGGTCAAACGTTTAATTCTTGGCTAGTGAGCGCAAATTAATATTTAATTGTGGTGGAACTGATCAAAAAATATTAAATTAAATAAGATTATGTTTGTTTTAATATGGTTAAATAGGACAAAATTCGACCAACATAAACTTCTGTTGCGCAGGGTACGAATGCTAATCGAGGGAAATTTGACCTTATGTAGGCTGAATTTAAGGAAAATGGAAATCCGTCCACTTATTGGAGGAATTCAGCGAAAAATTTAAAGTCAGGCTACCGAACATATACAAGTAGTTTTTTTATTTTATTTCGACGGGATTTTTGGGGCCTCGAAAATCAATCTTGCCTGCAAAATCATTATATTGCACACTTTCTTGACCATATGTCCCGATAAGTTGAGATCGAAGCCGTGTGTCATTTTGCCTGACCTCCATTTTCGACGGCGTGGAGTTGACCAATCAAGTACATGGGTGAAGTGGTAAAAGCCGATCTCGAACGCATTTTTCGCCATGCGCACTTGCCTCAGTTTTTCAAACTAGTTCGCCTTTGCCGATGAACTTTTCGTTGGCCGGTCGAGATGAAGTTTACTTGAGATGCCGTGAATCTAGCCATCGGTCATGATACTCAACATAACCAAGCGTATGTTGAGACCTGGACGGCTGAAAATGACGAGTAAACGAAAAACTCATTCCTTTATCGTCCCTTCCTTTTAATCCAGTTGTCTGAAAGTGATAAGTAAAACCCACGTTAAGTGTAGCTGAGAAAGAATTTCAGGAAATGTCTTCTAGGTGGGTTCTTTTAAATCACGGTGATAGATATGTTCAGTTATGTTTGCGTTTTATTGGAGGGCAAGGTGAAGTCACTGGTCTGAATGGAACTCACGCCATGAAGTTTTATGAGCTACTTTATTCACTGCATGTGTAGAATGGAATGCAATCCATGTCGTTTTTCCATTAGACGTGAACTGCAGTTACCGTCTAATACCTTTTTGAAAAATGTGGAAAGTGGATCTTTTGACCATTTTAACAATATTTTTGCAAACGCCATCGACGTGGGTGACAGATACTTGGTCGGAGCCTAATAAAATCCGGTATATTAAGCGCCTCCTGGACCGCACCTTGCCGACATATTCATGGGCAAGCTGGAGAAATTTCACTTGAGTGAATAGATCCAGGAATTAAAACACAATGGTTGCTACGTGGATGATACCTTCGAGATCGCTGCAACCTAAATCGATAAAGACGCAGGCTTAAATGTTGTCAACCAGGCACCTCCGTCCATTAAATTAACGTTGGAGGTGGAAATGGCAGGTTCGCTTCCCTTCTTGGACATCCTTCTAAGTCGAAGACCTGACGATAGCGTCCGAAGGTAGGTTTATCGCACGAAAACCTGGTTCGGACAGTACAGGAAATGTAACAGTTAGTACCCCTTCAACAGAAGCGAAATTTAGTCCGCTGCTTAGTGCAAAGGACTAGAAATATTTGCTCAGCAGACGGTATCGAGGAAGAGATCAACAAAATGCGGGACCTACTTCGCGAGAATGGGTATCCTGAGAGATTTATTACAAGGTATATGGCTGTGAAAAAAAATAAAATCCACCACACTTATTGTGCAAAAGAAAACACTATTACTTAAAGTCGCTTTTCGAGAAGCCGCGGCAAATGAACGGTTAAAAGACGCCTTGACCAAGCCCTTTCACTAATCTTCCAGCAGCCAATGTTCGGGTATTAGTCTCAAAAAACCGTAGCTTACAGGGCGAAGGAAAGGATTGATTAGCAGTTGAGACAACCTCCATGTGCATCGACTCCTTTACTCGCTCCTGTTGAGCAGGTTATACTGGTCGCACGAGATAGCGTCTATCCTTAAGAATAAAACAATACCACCCAGCATGGCTGAGAAAAGGGAAGGTCAGGAGCATAAACAACTCTATCCTGGCGCCCATGACTGATTTCTGACATCTAGTAGACCCCAACGAATCTTTCCGAGTGATCTACTAGGTATCAAAAAGTTATCCAAAGTCACTGGGTCAGCGCCTGCTAGCAACAGCAGAAGTGACTGCTATCAGGTTTAGGGAGCCGGCGTTTCGTGCGCAAAAAGACATTCGTGCAAGCTCTGCATCTGGCGTCGCCCACAGTTGTTTAATGGCATGCATTCATCCGCTATCTGGTCGTCTCTCGCTTGTAAAAAAAGACGAAAATAATCGACCGCTTGTTGAAATTTTACTCCTCCAATATAAATGTATTCTTCTGAAGACAATTTATCGGAAGTGCACGTATGCTCACCAAACTAGTCTTCTGCATGTCAGTATTGTCGCAGTTTCGATTCCTTCTGTTTCGGATTGCCTGTTTTAGGAGTTTTGGACGACAAAATGCTGCATTAACACCATGGTCTAATACTTTGCACCGGCGCATTATTTTTCGAACCCCGGACCCTGACAAGTTTGTTCTTTAGCGCAACTGATCAAGTAACGATAGTGCTTATAGAAAAAATCTTACCTATCCAATCAATCGTCGTCCATCAACCCTTTTTATGTACATATGCGTGTTTCTTTAATACTTTATTTACAATAACACTAAGTAAGCGCGTTCCCAATCCTCTACCTGCCCAGTCCTTCAACCTGAGTTAATTCCTATTTTTACTTTAGAAACTGAAAGGTTATACATAGTTGTATGTGCGTATGTTTTGAGTTCTGCGTTTCTCATTGTTCTTTTGGCTTTATTATTTATTTAATTACGGCCAATGGTTGCTTCATTTACGGCAGAACAAAGCTAACGTGTTCCTCTACCTTCTTGTCAGTCCTCCTACATTAATGTCTGGTTTTTTTCACATTTTCTGTATTTTTGTTTAGACGGATGATCTGAATCCTGTGGTTGTGGTTCAAGCCTGATTGCCCATTTCACTACGGCCAATTAAAAAACGCTACCTCGAATAATCTACTGGGGTTTTGCACCCAAACCAAAGTCTTTCGTAGAGTTGCAGCTTATGGAAAAAGTATTTAGGAGGTTTGGCAGATTTGCTTAATTAAGTTCACCCAATTGTGAAGAAACTCGTGGTATTCGGCAGAATTTGAACCCGCATAGTAGGGAAGGCCTTTTACGCGAAGCCAATGCTTCACCAGTTTAGCTACAAATGTCATGCTTAGCACCGTAAGTTTAATAACATTTAGATTGATATTACCCGCCCAAGTTTCCCGCTCGTATGGAATCCATCAAAACGGAACAGCAAGCTGACTGCCCAAGCAGGGTTTCCTAAGGAATCATCCAGAATCCACCAGAATTACTACTAGACTGACTTAATTATTAAGGAGGTTTGGCAGATTTGATTAATTTAATTCACCCAATTGTGAAAAAACTCGCAGCACTCGGCGGGATTGGAACCCGCATAGCAGGGGAGGCCTTTTACACGAAGTCAATCCTCTACCAGTTGAACTACAAATGCCACGCCTATAGACATATCGCATGTTTTGGGTTTTCAACCAATAGGCGTTGAAAGGCTTCAAACAGGGGCATCAATGTGTTTTCATGCTGTTCTTTTTTGCGTTCTAGACATTCTTGGCATCGCACATGAAACAGGTGAATTGCAATCGGTAACCGTGAGAGCATCCCAGCGTGAGTTGCAAAAGCGTGATATCAGCCTAGTCGACGCCTCAGGCTGTTTAGTTCGCCTCACCCTCTGGGACACCCAAGCGACCGAATTTGACGGCTCCACAAACCCCGCTGTGGTTGTCAAGTCCGCCAAGATCTCCGATTTCAATGGTAAGTCCGCGAAGTTACCACCGACAAGACCATGAGCATGCTCCCTCTTTGTCATTTGTCGCTGTAGCCACGCTTGTGCCCAAGTCTCATTCCCTGCTTTTATACTGTACTATACAGGTAGATCGCTCTCGACCACTTGGCAGTCCTCCCTCCTGATTGCTCCTACCAGTATACCCGAAGCGCGTCGTCTGAAGAACTGGTACGAACGAGAGGGTCGGACGGCCAACTTTGAGACCTATGAAGGCGAAATGGGCGGACTCGGCTCTGCGGGCGAAAGCCACGGTCTAAACCAGCTCTCTGAGCTTGCAGTCCCTGGCGTCGGCACCAACCCCAAGGGGGACTACTTTACATGCAAGGTAAATCGCTGCTTGGGACCACATTTTCGTCAAGTGCAACGTCTGCGTCCGACTATTACGTACCTGAGGACATGCCACTGCTTTTTTGGATGTGCGGATTTTATAGCATTGAGGACCACCAATGTATCGAGGAGCTAGCAGTCGTGAATTGTGCCTGAATCTGTTATTAGAGTTCATCTTCTGCTCACTGAAACAAATTTATAGGTTTGCTGACAATTCGGACAGCTGGGCCGGCTGTCTTTCGTCGTAGCGAATACTGACTTTATCGATCAGCAAGTTTAAAGTTGCGGCTGTAC